ATGAGCTCTTCTTCATGCACACTGTCTGTCTTCACACCAAATATAATAAAAAAACACTTACGACTCATGCCTCAACCCTCCTCCTCCCCTTCTCATCGCATCCATTTAAGTTTCCCATAAACGCAAAAAAATCCTTGTCAATGGTTTTAATGGTTGTACAAAAGAGTGTAAAGACAAGTCCATATTTTTTCTATTCCTTTGCTCTATCGCCCTCCGCTCTCTCGCTCTCTCTCCTTCCGCTCTCTCCTTCCGCTCTCTCTCCGTCCGCTCTCTCTCCCTCTGCTCTCTCTCCCTCTGCTCTCTCTCCCTCTGCTCTCTCTCCCTCTGCTCTCTCTCCCTCTGCTCTCTCTCCCTCTGCTCTCTCTCCCTCTGCTCTCTCTCCCTCCGCTCTCTCTCCCTCCGCTCTCTCTCCCTCCGCTCTCTCGCCCTCTGCTCTCGCCCTCCGCTCTCTCGCCCTCCGCTCTCTCGCCCTCTGCTCTCTCGCCCTCTGCTCTCTCGCCCTCTGCTCTCTCGCCCTCTGCTCTCTCGCCCTCTGCTCTCTCGCCCTCTGCTCTCTCGCCCTCTGCTCTCTCGCCCTCCGCTCTCTCGCCCTCTGCTCTCTCGCCCTCCGCTCGTCTCTAGTCCCAGGAACAAAATCCAGAAAAGACACACACGGAAATTCAACTTTTTGTACACTTTGTGGGCTTTGTTTTTGTCCTTTTTAATGTTTGTTACCAGGTGAGGGGCGTGGCTAACGTGGCTAATGGTTGCTTTTGTATGTCGGGGGTTTGATTTTGTCCTGTGCCTTATATGGAAGACAGGGGCGTGGCTTGCTGGTGGGCGTAACCACGACAACCACCCAAAAAATGAAATTAATAAAATCTGTAAAAATTTGAGCAGAAGAGTTTGAATTTCTCCTCCAGCCGAGAGAACGGCGTTACGTGTCCGGTTTAATCGTTTATTTTAACTCTGGTTTATTTGAATTAACTTTTTTTAGTTTTTTGTTTCCCTGCATGCAAAGTTTTGGGGTGTTGGAAACGTTTGTGTAACTTTAACGTTTGCCGCTGGGTAAAAGGAGCTACAGTTCTCTTGGAAATTCAAACATTTTTGCAGATTCATTAAAAATAAGCTTGTTTAAGTTAAAGCTCGTGTCTGTGTTTTTGTCCGTTCTACATCTTCATATGGACTGTGCAGACCGGAGAGCTACGCTATATACAGAGGCAAAGAGCTAATGTAAGGAGAGAAGAGGCAGAGAGCTAATGTAAGGAGAGAAGAGGCAGAGAGCTAATGTAAGGAGAGAAGAGGCAGAGAGCTAATGTAAGGAGAGAAGAGGCAGAGCTAATGTAAGGAGAGAAGAGGCAGAGAGCTAATGTAAGGAGAGAAGAGGCAGAGAGCTAATGTAAGGAGAGAAGAGGCAGAGAGCTAATGTAAGGAGAGAAGAGGCAGAGAGCTAATGTAAGGAGAGAAGAGGCAGAGAGCTAATGTAAGGAGAGAAGAGGCAGAGAGCTAATGTAAGGAGAGAAGAGGCAGAGAGCTAATGTAAGGAGAGAAGAGGCAGAGAGCTAATGTAAGGAGAGAAGAGGCAGAGAGCTAATGTGAGAAGAGAAGCTAATGTAAGGAGAGAAGAGGCAGAGAGCTAATGTAAGGAGAGAAGAGGCAGAGAGCTAATGTAAGGAGAGAAGAGGCAGAGAGCTAATGTAAGGAGAGAAGAGGCAGAGAGCTAATGTAAGGAGAGAAGAGGCAGAGAGCTAATGTAAGGAGAGAAGAGGCAGAGAGCTAATGTAAGGAGAGAAGAGGCAGAGAGCTAATGTAAGGAGAGAAGAGGCAGAGAGCTAATGTAAGGAGAGAAGAGGCAGAGAGCTAATGTAAGGAGAGAAGAGGCAGAGAGCTAATGTAAGGAGAGAAGCGGCAGAGAGCTAATGTAAGAAGAGGCAGAGAGCTAATGTAAGGAGAGAAGAGGCAGAGAGCTAATGTAAGGAGAGAAGAGGCAGAGAGCTAATGTAAGGAGAGAAGAGGCAGAGAGCTAATGTAAGGAGAGAAGAGGCAGAGAGCTAATGTAAGGAGAGAAGAGGCAGAGAGCTAATGTAAGGAGAGAAGAGGCAGAGAGCTAATGTAAGGAGAGAAGAGGCAGAGAGCTAATGTAAGGAGAGAAGAGGCAGAGAGCTAATGTAAGGAGAGAAGAGGCAGAGAGCTAATGTGAGAAGAGAAGAGGCAGAGAGCTAATGTAAGGAGAGAAGAGGCAGAGAGCTAATGTAAGGAGAGAAGAGGCAGAGAGCTAATGTAAGGAGAGAAGAGGCAGAGAGCTAATGTAAGGAGAGAAGAGGCAGAGAGCTAATGTAAGGAGAGAAGAGGCAGAGAGCTAATGTAAGGAGAGAAGAGGCAGAGAGCTAATGTAAGGAGAGAAGAGGCAGAGAGCTAATGTAAGGAGAGAAGAGGCAGAGAGCTAATGTAAGGAGAGAAGAGGCAGAGAGCTAATGTAAGGAGAGAAGAGGCAGAGAGCTAATGTAAGGAGAGAAGAGGCAGAGAGCTAATGTAAGGAGAGAAGAGGCAGAGAGCTAATGTAAGGAGAGAAGCGGCAGAGAGCTAATGTAAGGAGAGAAGAGGCAGAGAGCTAATGTAAGGAGAGAAGAGGCAGAGAGCTAATGTAAGGAGAGAAGAGGCAGAGAGCTAATGTAAGGAGAGAAGAGGCAGAGAGCTAATGTAAGGAGAGAAGAGGCAGAGAGCTAATGTAAGGAGAGAAGAGGCAGAGAGCTAATGTAAGGAGAGAAGAGGCAGAGAGCTAATGTAAGGAGAGAAGAGGCAGAGAGCTAATGTAAGGAGAGAAGAGGCAGAGAGCTAATGTAAGGAGAGAAGAGGCAGAGAGCTAATGTAAGGAGAGAAGAGGCAGAGAGCTAATGTAAGGAGAGAAGAGGCAGAGAGCTAATGTAAGGAGAGAAGAGGCAGAGAGCTAATGTAAGGAGAGAAGAGGCAGAGAGCTAATGTAAGGAGAGAAGAGGCAGAGAGCTAATGTAAGGAGAGAAGAGGCAGAGAGCTAATGTAAGGAGAGAAGAGGCAGAGAGCTAATGTAAGGAGAGAAGCGGCAGAGAGCTAATGTAAGGAGAGAAGAGGCAGAGAGCTAATGTAAGGAGAGAAGAGGCAGAGAGCTAATGTAAGGAGAGAAGAGGCAGAGAGCTAATGTAAGGAGAGAAGAGGCAGAGAGCTAATGTAAGGAGAGAAGAGGCAGAGAGCTAATGTAAGGAGAGAAGAGGCAGAGAGCTAATGTAAGGAGAGAAGAGGAAGAGAGCTAATGTGAGAAGAGGAAGAGAGCTAATGAGAGAAGAGAGCTACAGTAGCATAGTATAGTTCACACGTGTTCATCCTTATCAGTAATGACTCCTGGACGAGGGTCTAATTTATCATTAAAGTTATGAAAATATTCAAAACAAATGCATGATGTGAAGATTAGAGATTCTTTTAATCCCCGTGGGGAAATTTCAATGTTGCAGCGCACAGACTGGACAGTAAGAGACACAGGGTTAGGTTTTAATATATAATATAATATATATAAGTTAGAGCAGGATAATAAAGTGACATTCTGAAGTTGTAGTATTTGCACATGACTTTAGTATGTCCTTATTTACAGATGAATGACATGTACAGGCGCAGCAGTTCTCGTTGTACAGTCTGACAGCAGCAGGAAGGTCTGCTACGGAACCTCTTCACACAGCGAGGGTCCAGAGCAGAGAGTGTCCTGCAGGGGGCGACAGTCATGCTCCAGATGTGAGTCTGTCTCAAATCTCTTCAGTGAAAAGTAAAGTCAGGAACCGCAGCTTTAAGTCCACATTAACATGATGCGAAGTTCAGCAATTCTTCTACACAGAGAAATGTTGATGGTTCCAGTTTCAGGAAGTATGGTTTACATAATTCACCCATGGAACTATTGTTACCCTGGTGGTGTTCCGAGGGGACGAGATATACCGGTGCACAGCTTCTCCCCAGTGAAAAAGGTTGTGTAAGGAGTTAACACTGGCTGTTTTATGTTATGGCATTAAAACGTGTACGTTTGACACAGACTCTGCTCCTTACGCACCACAGAAGTATAATAAAACTAATATTATAGAGGTTTAAAAAATGTGTCTGACTCAGATCTGTAAAACCCGAGAGTGAGACTTAACTATTCACAGGAGTGACTGAGACCCAGACAAACCCCATCAGCCATAAAAGTCCAGAGAATCTACAAATATATTACATTTTACATAATTCCTTTTAAATTGAATGTAGAGTCCAGTCCTTGATAAGGTTCATGAAAACAACTCTTTAAAAGGAGAAAGGGTTTTGCATTTGGTTTGATTGGTCTAAATGTCATTCATAAACAGGAAACAGTTATAATAAAATGAATCACTATGACATTAAATACGCAGCAGAGTGTTATGAAGTCATGTGATCACAACAGACTGGTTATAGAAGACTTTATTAAATAACGGATATATTTGCATTTGGTACATTTGGAAATAAAAGAATAAAAAGTGGAATCCCAAACAGGCGTCAGCACGAGCCAAACTCCTGGATCCACGTCTCGTACTTGTCGAGGTCGGCCGCAGACACAGACTTCGACACTTTCCTGAGCGCGGTCTCGAAGTCCTCCATCGTTGTCGGCATCTGCATCTCGTCTCTGGAGATGTTCCGGATCTGCTCCGGAGACAGGCCCTCGATCCGCCGCCGCATGGACATCAGCGACGCATCTCTGAACACAAATATATACACTTACAACCAGAGAGAGAGACCAGAGAGAGACCAGAGAGAGAGAGAGACCAGAGAGAGAGACCAGAGAGAGAGAGAGACCAGAGAGAGAGACCAGAGAGAGAGACCAGAGAGAGAGACCAGAGAGAGAGACCAGAGAGAGACCAGAGAGAGAGAGAGACCAGAGAGAGAGACCAGAGAGAGAGAGAGACCAGAGAGAGAGACCAGAGAGAGAGACCAGAGAGAGAGACCAGAGAGAGAGAGAGACCAGAGAGAGAGACCAGAGAGAGAGAGAGACCAGAGAGAGAGACCAGAGAGAGAGACCAGAGAGAGAGACCAGAGAGAGAGACCAGAGAGAGAGACCAGAGAGAGAGACCAGAGAGAGAGACCAGAGAGAGAGACCAGAGAGAGAGACCAGAGAGAGAGACCAGAGAGAGAGACCAGAAAGAGAGACCAGAGAGAGAGACCAGAGAGAGAGACCAGAAAGAGACCAGAGAGAGAGACCAGAGAGAGAGACCAGAGAGAGAGACCAGAGAGAGAGACCAGAGAGAGAGACCAGAGAGAGAGACCAGAGAGAGAGACCAGAGAGAGAGACCAGAGAGAGAGACCAGAGAGAGAGACCAGAGAGAGAGAGACCAGAGAGAGACCAGAGAGAGAGAGACCAGAGAGAGAGAGACCAGAGAGAGAGACCAGAGGGAGAGACCAGAGAGAGAGAGACCAGAGAGAGAGACCAGAGGGAGAGACCAGAGAGAGAGACCAGAGAGAGAGACCAGAGAGAGAGACCAGAGAGAGAGACCAGAGAGAGAGACCAGAGAGAGAGACCAGAGAGAGAGAGACCAGAGAGAGAGAGACCAGAGAGAGAGAGACCAGAGAGAGAGAGACCAGAGAGAGAGACCAGAGAGAGACCAGAGAGAGACCAGAGAGAGACCAGAGAGAGAGACCAGAGAGAGAGACCAGAGAGAGACCAGAGAGAGAGACCAGAGAGAGAGACCAGAGAGAGACCAGAGAGACCAGAGAGAGAGACCAGAGAGAGACCAGAGAGAGACCAGAGAGAGACCAGAGAGAGAGACCAGAGAGAGAGAGAGACCAGAGAGAGACCAGAGAGAGACCAGAGAGAGAGACCAGAGAGAGAGACCAGAGAGAGAGACCAGAGAGAGAGACCAGAGAGAGAGACCAGAGAGAGACCAGAGAGAGACCAGAGAGAGACCAGAGAGAGACCAGAGAGAGAGACCAGAGAGAGAGACCAGAGAGAGAGACCAGAGAGAGAGACCAGAGAGAGAGAGACCAGAGAGAGAGACCAGAGAGAGACCAGAGAGAGACCAGAGAGAGACCAGAGAGAGACCAGAGAGAGACCAGAGAGAGACCAGAGAGAGACCAGAGAGAGAGAGACCAGAGAGAGAGAGACCAGAGAGAGAGACCAGAGAGAGAGACCAGAGAGAGAGACCAGAGAGAGAGACCAGAGAGAGAGACCAGAGAGAGAGACCAGAGAGAGAGACCAGAGAGAGACCAGAGAGAGAGGAGCTTGTGACCTGCAGACGTTGGTGATGTCGGCCCCTGAGTACCCTTCCATCTTTGTGGCGATCTTCTCCATGTCCACGTCTCCGGACAGCTCCAGCTCCTTCAGGTTGATCTTCAGCAGCTCCACTCGCCCTTTAGCTGAGACACACACAGCGGGTCTTCAGTTCAAACCCCGCTCGCCTCGGGGCCGGTCTTCTCACCTGACGGCAGAGGGATGTAGATCCTCTTCTCCAGGCGCCGCCTCAGAGCCTCGTCGATGTCCCAGGGGAAGTTAGTGGCCGCCAGCACCATCACCATCTTAGACGGGTCCTCGTTCTCTGAGGCTCCGCCCACACCTGTCAGTATTACAATACTAGTACTCATTACTCTACTCATTACTTTACTTATTACTTTACTTACTAGAGTATTTAGTCCTACATGATGGACTCCATAAACTGACAGAGAAAAAACTAAAACTAAGGCTGTGGTCACAGGCACGACCAAAAGGTTAAAGTGGCCCCGGCCCAGATCCTGATCAGATCCAGGCTTTAGGGGCCACAGAGGGGGGGGTCTGAGCACGGTTCTAAAGCCCCGATGGGGGGGGTCGATGTGGGGAGTGGGGGGACGTGACATTGTGTCACAATATGTCACAGTAAATAAGTTTGAGTTGATGCAACACTGAAAGTTCCCCACTGTGGGACCAATAAAGGATATTTGTTTATATAGACCAAGGTCACAAACTGAGCTTGACCTTTGGACCAAGGTCACACACTGAGCTTGACCTTTGGACCAAGGTCACACACTGAGCTTGACCTTTGGACCAAGGTCACACACTGAGCTTGACCTTTGGACCAAGGTCACACACTGAGCTTGACCTTTGGACCAAGGTCACACACTGAGCTTGACCTTTGGACCAAGGTCACACACTGAGTTTGACCTTTGGACCTGTCATTTCTCCACAGACTGATGAACACAACCCTCCAGTCAATGTTCTCTTTGTACCTCTCCATCTGCTGCGCACTAGCACTTTACTGTTATGTCTGCTGCGCACTAGCACTTTACTGTTATGTCTGCTGCGCACTAGCACTTTACTGTTATGTCTGCTGCGCACTAGCACTTTACTGTTATGTCTGCTGCGCACTAGCACTTTACTGTTCTGTCTGCTGCGCACTAGCACTTTACTGTTATGTCTGCTGCGCACTAGCACTTTACTGTTATGTCTGCTGCGCACTAGCACTTTACTGTTCTGTCTGCGCGCACTAGCACTTTACTGTTCTGTCTGCTGCGCACTAGCACTTTACTGTTATGTCTGCGCGCACTAGCACTTTACTGTTATGTCTGCTGCGCACTAGCACTTTACTGTTATGTCTGCTGCGCACTAGCACTTTACTGTTATGTCTGCTGCGCACTAGCACTTTACTGTTCTGTCTGCGCGCACTAGCACTTTACTGTTATGTCTGCTGCGCACTAGCACTTTACTGTTATGTCTGCGCGCACTAGCACTTTACTGTTATGTCTGCGCGCACTAGCACTTTACTGTTATGTCTGCTGCGCACTAGCACTTTACTGTTATGTCTGCGCGCACTAGCACTTTACTGTTATGTCTGCTGCGCACTAGCACTTTACTGTTATGTCTGCTGCGCACTAGCACTTTACTGTTATGTCTGCGCGCACTAGCACTTTACTGTTATGTCTGCTGCGCACTAGCACTTTACTGTTATGTCTGCTGCGCACTAGTACTTTACTGTTATGTCTGCTGCGCACTAGTACTTTACTGTTCTGTCTGCTGCGCACTAGCACTTTACTGTTATGTCTGCTGCGCACTAGCACTTTACTGTTATGTCTGCTGCGCACTAGTACTTTACTGTTATGTCTGCTGCGCACTAGCACTTTACTGTTATGTCTGCTGCGCACTAGTACTTTACTGTTATGTCTGCTGCGCACTAGCACTTTACTGTTATGTCTGCTGCGCACTAGTACTTTACTGTTATGTCTGCTGCGCACTAGCACTTTACTGTTATGTCTGCTGCGCACTAGTACTTTACTGTTATGTCTGCTGCGCACTAGCACTTTACTGTTATGTCTGCTGCGCACTAGTACTTTACTGTTATGTCTGCTGCGCACTAGCACTTTACTGTTATGTCTGCTGCGCACTAGCACTTTACTGTTATGTCTGCTGCGCACTAGTACTTTACTGTTATGTCTGCTGCGCACTAGCACTTTACTGTTATGTCTGCTGCGCACTAGTACTTTACTGTTATGTCTGCGCGCACTAGCACTTTACTGTTATGTCTGTGCGCACTAGCACTTTACTGTTATGTCTGCTGCGCACTAGCACTTTACTGTTATGTCTGCTGCGCACTAGCACTTTACTGTTATGTCTGCTGCGCACTAGCACTTTACTGTTATGTCTGCTGCGCACTAGTACTTTACTGTTATGTCTGCTGCGCACTAGCACTTTACTGTTATGTCTGCTGCGCACTAGTACTTTACTGTTATGTCTGCTGCGCACTAGCACTTTACTGTTATGTCTGTGCGCACTAGCACTTTACTGTTATGTCTGCTACGCACTAGCACTTTACTGTTATGTCTGCTGCGCACTAGTACTTTACTGTTATGTCTGCTGCGCACTAGTACTTTACTGTTATGTCTGCTGCGCACTAGTACTTTACTGTTCTGTCTGCTGCGCACTAGCACTTTACTGTTATGTCTGCTGCGCACTAGCACTTTACTGTTATGTCTGCTGCGCACTAGCACTTTACTGTTATGTCTGCGCGCACTAGCACTTTACTGTTATGTCTGGTCTTTTACTAGTTTATTATTTAGTTTCCTTGCACTGATGGGACTATGGCATATTCTTGTTGTGCAGACGATTGTCCTTACGTTGTGAGTGTGTTGTGCGTTACAGCTGTGAGTGTGTTGTGCGTTACAGCTGTGAGTGTGTTGTGCCTAACAGCTGTGAGTGTGTTGTGCCTAACAGCTGTGAGTGTGTTGTGCCTAACAGCTGTGAGTGTGTTGTGCCTAACAGCTGTGAGTGTGTTGTGCCTAACAGCTGTGAGTGTGTTGTGCGTTACAGCTGTGAGTGTGTTGTGCCTAACAGCTGTGAGTGTGTTGTGCGTTACAGCTGTGAGTGTGTTGTGCGTTACAGCTGTGAGTGTGTTGCGTGTTTGTGAGTGTGTTGTGTGTTTGTGTGTTTCTGTTGTGTGCTGCGTACCGTCCATCTGCACCAGGAGCTCGGCCTTGACCCTGCGACTGGCCTCGTGCTCCTCTGAGGTCCCTCTGCGGCTGCACATGGAGTCGATCTCGTCGATGAAGATGGTGGTGGGGGCGTAGAAGCGAGCCTGAGAGAGAGAACAAGCATCGTCACCGGCTCAGGTTCTACTCAACACTGTGCATAATGCTAATGCTAACGGCTGCAAGTGTGTTGCTATGGTAACTAACCATTTCAAACAGGAGTCGGACCAGTTTCTCCGACTCGCCGCGGTACTTGGAGGTGAGCGTGGACGACGACACGTTGAAGAAGGTGGTTCTACATTCTGTCGCCACCGCTTTGGCCAAAAGGGTTTTACCGGTTCCAGGAGGTCCCACCATCAGCACCCCCTAAAGAGAGGCACCGGGAGTATATATAAATATATAAGAAAGAGAGAAAGAGAGAGAGAGAGAGAGAGAGAGAGAGAGAGAGAGAGAGAGAGAGAGAGAGAGAGAGAGAGAGAGAGAGAGAGAGAGAGAGAGAGAGAGAGAGAGAGAGAGAGAGAGAGAGAGAGAGAGAGAGAGAGAGAGAGAGAGAGAGAGAGAGAGAGAGAGAGAGAGAGAGAGAGAGAGAGAGAGAGAGAGAGAGAGAGAGAGAGAGAGAGAGAGAGAGAGAGAGCGACTGAGACTGAAGGAGAGAGAGAGAGAGAGAGAGAGCGACTGAGACTGAAGAAGAGAGAGAGACAGAGAGAGAGAGAGAGACAGAGAGAGAGAGAGAGACAGAGAGAGACAGAGACAGAGACAGAGACAGAGAGAGAGAGAGAGAGAGAGAGAGAGAGAGAGAGAGAGAGAGAGAGAGAGAAGAGAGAGAGAGAGAGAGAGAGAGAGAGAGAGAGCGAGAGCGAGAGCGAGAGCGAGAGAGAGAGAGAGACGTCCACCTTCCACGGTCGTCGAATGCCTTTGAAAAACGCTGGCATCCACATGGGCAGCACCACTGCTTCTTTCAGGAGTTTCTTTGGGTCTTCCAGATCTGCGATGTCATCCCTGAAACAGACACAGCTGCGTCAGAACCACAGACTGTAAATATAAACAGACACAGCTGCGTCAGAACCACAGACTGTAAATATAAACAGACACAGCTGCGTCAGAACCATAGACTGTAAATATAAACAGACACAGCTGCGTCAGAACCACAGACTGTAAATATAAACAGACACAGCTGCGTCAGAACCTAGACAGTAAATAACATAGACTGTAAATATAAACAGACACAGCTGCGTCAGAACCACAGACTGTAAATATAAACAGACACAGCTGCGTCAGAACCACAGACTGTAAATATAAACAGACACAGCTGCGTCAGAACCACAGACTGTAAATATAAACAGACACAGCTGCGTCAGAACCACAGACTGTAAATATAAACAGACACAGCTGCGTCAGAACCACAGACTGTAAATATAAACAGACACAGCTGCGTCAGAACCACAGACTGTAAATATAAACAGACACAGCTGCGTCAGAACCATAGACTGTAAATATAAACAGACACAGCTGCGTCAGAACCACAGACTGTAAATATAAACAGACACAGCTGCGTCAGAACCATAGACTGTAAATATAAACAGACACAGCTGCGTCAGAACCACAGACTGTAAATATAAACAGACACAGCTGCGTCAGAACCACAGACTGTAAATATAAACAGACACAGCTGCGTCAGAACCACAGACTGTAAATATAAACAGACACAGCTGCGTCAGAACCACAGACTGTAAATATAAACAGACACAGCTGCGTCAGAACCACAGACTGTAAATATAAACAGACACAGCTGCGTCAGAACCATAGACTGTAAATATAAACAGACACAGCTGCGTCAGAACCACAGACTGTAAATATAAACAGACACAGCTGCGTCAGAACCACAGACTGTAAATATAAACAGACACAGCTGCGTCAGAACCACAGACTGTAAATATAAACAGACACAGCTGCGTCAGAACCACAGACTGTAAATATAAACAGACACAGCTGCGTCAGAACCGCAGACTGTAAATATTAACAGACACAGCTGCGTCAGAAACACAGACTGTAAATATAAACAGACACAGCTGCGTCAGAACCGCAGACTGTAAATATTAACAGACACAGCTGCGTCAGAAACACAGACTGTAAATATTAATGAACAGAGTCAGGCCTATCTGCGCCGTTCTAAAGGGGCGTTCACACCGGACTTAACTTCGGCGTCAAAAGCGTCAGGTTTCCATTGAAAGTGAATGGTGAAGCGCGTCAGGTGAAGCCGAGAGCCCCGGCGTCACTTGACGCGCGTCAAAAGCTTCAAGAGTCGCGCGTACTACGCGCTGACTTGAAGCTTTTGACGCGCGAAACGCTCGCGTATCACAACAATCCCTTTGACGCCGAAGTTGAGCAAAGCTGAGCTTTTGAAGCTTTGACGCGGGCTTCAACCAATCAGGAGACGAGGAGCAGCAGCAGCAGAGGGTCTGTCTCTGTCATGGAGAGAAGTCATGTATCTGCTGCTGCTGTTTTATTGTCATTATTGTTATTAGTAATATTATTTGTATGAGTAGTAACATTCTGAGTTACAAAAATCATTGTACACATGCTGTGTAGTAAACGTAGTTTATTTAATATAAGAACAGGCTGACGATGGGTCTGGCTCAGAGCAAGGCAGCTCCGGGCGGGCGAGAGCCAGGGAGAGGCGAGCGAGAGCCGGGGAGAGCCAGGGAGAGGCGAGCGAGAGCCGGGGAGAGGCAGGGAGAGGCGAGAGCCGGGGTTTGAGAACTCAGACTGGGCGAGTGACATGCGGAAGTACCGCTGAAAGCGAAACTCCTCCGTACGCAGCTCCTGGAGTAAATGACGGAACTCTGCAAACACTGCAGCCTCTCAAGTCTGTGGTGAACCCAGAACATGTTTTGTTGAAGCCCTACAACAACGTTATTTTGCTTTATATAACAAATAAAGGCTCGCTGCTCATTGAAAAATCCACCGCTGTCCTGACTACAGGCAACAGAGAAGCTCCTCCCACCGGCGTCAGGCGCGTCACTCGCGTCAAAAGCTTCAAGCACCAAAATGACAAAACTATCCCGGCGTCAGTTGAAGCGCGTCAAAAGCTTTTTGAAGCTTTTGGTCTGAACGCGCCTTAACTAATGGGCCAAAAAATGTGCTCTACTGGAGCAATCCAAAATGGCCGCGAGTGGTCCCGCCCACAAGAAAATTGTGAAAAAACGCATCTGCGCATGCGTCAGCCGGAGACAGCTCCATTCATTTGAACGAGAGACTTCTAAAGTCCACAGCGAGTAAACTAGACTGGACCAAAACACCCCCCTCAGCATTGACACACATGTGGAACGGAGCTTTGGGCCAAGAGACAACTTTTGGACCATCCTGTAAAGACGTTATTGAGGGGTCTGCTAACGCTATATGTTAGCATTGGCTAATTCTTATTCTGGGTCCACCCCCACAGGCCCGGGGTGGTACTGCAGCACGTCATTTTGGACACTTTTGAGCCGGGACCCGCCCCCACTGGTCAGAACCAGGAAGTAAACACTGGACCAGGAAGTCTCACATCCACAGGGCACGCCGTACGTCTCCTTTAAAACAACATTTGGGACTGTGCTGTTCACATTCATGTTTGAAGCAGCAGTTAAAGATGGCCTTGTTTAGAGTGACTTATCAGTACAGATGAGTGGCACAGGCTCAGCAGGCCTCGTTGTACAGTCTGACAGCACCAGACCTGCAGAACCTCTCCTTCACACAGAGGGAGACAGACAGAGAGAGAGACCAGAGAGAAAGAGAGAGGGACAGAGACAGAGAGAGAGACAGAGACAGAGAGAGACAGAGAGAGAGACAAAGAGACAAAGAGAGAGACAGAGAAACAGAGAGACAAACAGAGAGAGAGACAGAGAGAGAGACAGAGAGAGAGACAGAGAGAGAGAGAGAGAGAGAGAGAAAGACAGAGCCAGAGAGAGACACAGAGAGAGAGAGAGAGAGAGAGAGAGAGAGAGACAGAGAGACAGACAAAGAGAGAGACAGAGAGACAGACAGAGAGACAGAGAGAGAGAGAGACAGAGAAACAGACAGAGAGAGAGACAGAGACAGACAGAGAGAGAGACAGAGAGAGACAGAGAGAGAGACCAGAGACAGAGAGAGAGACAGAGAGAGAGAGAGAGAGAGACAGAGAAACAGAGAGAGAGAGAGAGAGAGAGACAGAGAGAGACAGAGAGAGAGAGAGAGAGACAGAGAGAGAGACAGAGAGAGCCAGAGAGAGACAGAGAGAGAGACAGAGAGAGAGACAGAGAGAGAGACAGAGAGAGAGACAGAGAGATAGAGAGAGCAAGATGGCGCCGGGTCAGGGCGCCTCAGTAAGAGCTCTGGTGTGCACTGTCTGTTCTATGTTGTTTATATTCGTCTGTGATACACTTGCCGCCGTGAAGTACGACCGAGAGACACTTCTCTACATTCGGGACCGAGCTTGTGGAGTATCGCAGGTCTTACCCGAACTGAGGTGCTTGGACTTCATTGAGTGCCCCACTCGTGAGGCCCGTCAAACATGGCAGGCGGGCCGCGGCAATGGCCGCGAACAGAGCGGGGGGACTGGGCGTCTCCATCGTGCTCTCCGCGGTGTGGAGCTGGGTACCGGGAGCCGACGTAGGAGGCGCAGACACCGGGGAAAACGAGGCGGTCTGCTCGTGAGATGCCGCTCCTGCAGGACCGCTCTGCCCTCCATCTACCTGGCCAACGTCCAGTCTCTGCCCAATAAGACGGACGAGCTCCTGTGTCGGGTCCAGAGCCAGCGCGAGGCCCGGGACTGTGTTCTGTCTCAGCGAGACGTGGCTCCACTCGAACGTCCCGGACTCTGCTGTTCAGCCCCCGGGATTCACCGCTCACCGCTCGGACAGAGTGAAGGAGACCACGGGCAAGGCCAGAGGCGGAGGTGTGTGCTTTTTAATTAATCAGCGCTGGTGCACGGACACTCGAGTCGTGAACCAAACATGTACTGCCAATCTGGAATGCCTGGTCTTGAGCTGTCGCCCTTTTTATCTTCCGCGGGAGTTTTCTGTGATATTTTTATGTGCTGTTTACATCCACCCACGAGCGGACTATACTGTAGCACTACAGGATCTGAGCGAGATCCTTCATAAATACGAGACTGCTCATCCTAATGCAGTGATCATTGTCGCTGGGGATTTTAACAAATGTAATTTAAAGTCTGTACTCCCAAATTTCTACCAACATGTGACTCGAGCTACAAGAGGAGCACAGATCCTGGATCACTGCTACAGTAACGTGAAGGGAGCTTACAGGTCCAGTCTCAGACCTCCTTTTGGAAAGTCTGACCACTCCTCTGTTCTCCTTCTTCCCTCATACTCTCAGAGGAGCAGGGAACATAAACCAACCTCTCGCACTGTGCAGTGTTGGTCTGAGGAGGCTAGCATGAAGCTACAAGGTTGTTTTGATGCCACTGACTGGTCTGTGTTTCAGTCAGAGGACGTCAATGAATTCTGTGACGCTGTGACTGGATACATACGCTTCTGTATTTACTGCTGTGTCCCACAGAAGGTCATTAAAGAACATTTTAGTCAAAACCCTTGG